TATGTGGTGCTGAGGTTGAACCTGGGCCGCACACATGCCAGGTGAGCGCGCTACTGCTTGAGCCACATCCCCAGCCCTAGAGCACCTGTTTTCAATTCTTTTGAGTATATATCTTAGGAGTAGTACTGCTGGATCAGATGGTACTAACTTTTTGAGGAACCACCAAACTTTTCCACAGTCACTGCAACATTTTACATCCCCTTCAATAATATAAGATGGTTTCTTCACATCCCCAACACTTATTGTTGTTTTTATAAAATTATGGTCATCCTACTGGGTATGAAATGGTATCACACTCTGGTTTTAAGACACCTCTCAAATGACTGATATTTCATATGATTATGGGCCATTCTTTTTGGAGAAATATCTATTTACATCCTCTACCCAGTCATTAGTTGGCTTGCCTTTGGGGAGTTTTAAGAATTACTTACATGTTCTGGATATTAGATCCTTGTTGAATATACAATCTGCAAATATTCTTCCCATTTCTTTTCACTTTCTTGACAGAGTCTTCTTAACAAAAGTTTTTAATATATATGTAATCTTATTTGTTAATTCTTTCTTTTGTTGCTTGAGTTTATGCTGTCATATCTAAGCAGCCAGGATCAAATCCAAGGTTATTAAGATCTACTCATATGATTTCTTCAAAGACTTTTATAATTGTAATTTTATTAATTAAGCTGAGGATCCATTTTGAGCTAATTTTATGTGTATGTTATATGACAGGAATGCATTTTCATTCTTTTGCAAGTGGATATCCAATTGTCCCTACATTGTTAAAGAGATTATTCTTTCCCCAATGAATGGTTCTGGTACCACCCTTACTGACCATAAACTTGAGAGTATATTTCTAAACTCTCAATTCTATTCCATTGGTCTATATGTTTACCCCCCTGCCAGTTCCACACTACTTAACTGTGGCTTCGAAGCTTCCAATTTTTTTTTTCAATACTGTTTTGACTATTTGACACCCTTTGTAATTCCATATGAAGATTAGCTTTTCTATTTCTGGAAAAAAAAAAAAGATGGGTAGATTTTGATAGCACTGAATCCACACAGATTTGGGCTTAACTAACATCTTGACAAAATTAAATCTTTCAATTCATGAACACAATATGTATTTCCACTTATTTAGGTTTTTGTTATCAATATAGTTTTCACTATACAATCTTTCACCTCCTTGGTTAAAATTATTCTTGAGTATTTTATTCTTTTGTGCCACTATAAATGGAAATATTTATCTTCATTTCCATTACTGGAGAGTCCACTGCTGGTATATAAAAACACAATAATTTGTGTATGTTGTTCTAATATCTTGCAAATTTGCTAAATTAGTCATCAACTCTAGTAGTTTGTAAATTATCTGAATTTTCTATATATAGGATCATGTCATCTGCGAACAGATAGTTTTTACTTTTGCCTTTCCAATTTGGATGCTATTTAATTATTTTCTTAGCTCGAATTTACAGTAAAATATTGGGTTCAATGGTGAAACCAAGCACTCATGTCTTATTGCTAATCTTAGGTAGAAAGATTTGAATCTTTCAACACGGAGTACAATGCCACCTCTGAGTTTTCCATATAGGCCCATTATCACATTAAACAAATTTCACTTTCATTTTTGAAAGCTATTGTGACTGGGTAGAAGATAACAGACTGATAGTCTTTTCCTTATGATGTCAACCTGTTGACCTCAGACCTCTGTAAAGAAATCTGGTGTAGTTCTACTTTTGTTCCTGTCTCATGTTTTTTTTTTTTTTTTTTTGGTCTGGTTGCTTTCAAGCTTTTCTCTATTTCACAGGTTTTCCCCCATGTAATGATGATGATGTGGTGTTGGTATATGGTTTCATTATGTTTCTTTCTTTTTAAAATTTTTTATTTATATATGACAGTGGAATGCATTACAATTCTTATTATACATATAGAGCACAATTTTTCATATCTCTGGTTGTATACATAGTATATTCACACCAATTTGTGTCTTCATACCTGTACTTTGGATAATAATGATCATCATGTTTCACCATCATTAATAATCCCCTGCCCCCTCCCTTCCCCTCCAACACCTCTGCCCTATCTAGAATTCATCTACTCCTCCCATGCTCCCTCTCCCTATGCTTGGGGTTCAGTGAAGCTTCTTGGATCCATGGGATTTTAGCAGGGATTCTCAACAAGGAGAAACTTTTAGTCCTCCCCTGCCAACCCTCTAGCATTGCTGCCACCTCCCCACCCTAAACATTTGGCAATATCTAGGGAAGTTTTTGTTGTTACAACTAGGCAGCACTATTGGCATTTAGTGAATCAGAACCAGGGTTGCTGCTAAATGTCATATTTTGCAAAGAATAGCCCTCTACAGCATTGAATTTTCTGACCCAAAATAGCAATGTTTCAAGATTGAAAAACTCTGGTGTATAGTTTTTAGCAATGTTTAGAATTTATGATATTATTCATTATTATTAGTTTTTGTTTTCTCCTCTGTCTTTCTGGAATTCCAAATATATGCTACATTGCTTGATATTTTCCCATAGCTCACTGGATTTTCTTCATTTCTTGATTAGTCTTTTTATGCTCTGTACCTCATTTTGATTAGTTTCACTTCGAGTTCACTGATCTTCTCTAAGCAAGGCCAAAATGCTGTTGTTAATCCTCTCATATATTTTTCACTTCAGATAATGTATTTTTCCAACTCCAGAATTTTCAGCTTGGGTTTTTTAATCTTCCACTTCTCTGTATTTCGCTCATGTTTTCACCCACTTTCTAGAACAAATAAGAATGTATTTATCGTAAGTGTCTTCATGTCTTTGGTATTTCATCATCTTTTCAATCTGGCATCTGCATTTATGAATAGGTTGTTCTCCTGTGTCATATTTTCCTGGCCCCCCCCTTTCCTGCTTAAAAGACTGTCAGCCAGGCATTGTATATTTTCAACAATGCTTTCTGGATTTTTCTGTGTTCCTTTAAATTATATTGGTCTTTATTTTGGCATAAATTCCTTGGTATCAGTCTGATCCTTTGGAATCTCATTTTTAAGCTCTGTTAAGGCAGAAGAGCAGTCTTTAGTGTAGGGCTTAATTTAGCACTTACTACTAAGGTGAAACCTTTCTGAGACCTCTACCATACATCCCATATATTTTTTTGCACTCTGACTTATAGAAACAAAATATGCTATATCAGTTCCAGGAATTGTGCAATCTACTGCTTTTCTGTGTTTCTTTCCCCAGACTGTTAGTTTTCTTCTCATAAACACAGAGACTAGTATTCAGCCAAAGGGATCAAACATAGATCTCTGGAACTCTCTATCTAGGAACAACTTCTAATAATTGGACAATAAGTTTTCTACTTAGGACAAGAAGTGTTCTACTCCTTCCTTCTACTTCCTCCTACAGAAATGGCGTTAGCAGTCATCACTGTTTGTGGTCTATTTCTGTTGCCTCTGATCAACTTGTTGTGCTACAGATATTAACCAAGAACTTTTGGTTATGCTATCCTAGTTATTTTGTTAAGAAAAAATTGGGGACTTTGAAAAAACTGTGCTATAGCTACTACCACCTTGCCAGAATTCCAAAAACCATACAAATTTTGTGATGGAATGCATTAAAAATGAGAATAGGAATACTAAGGGAAATAAATTAGTATTGCTAAACTAATCTTTTCCATTACTTTTGCCTTTATCCAATTATTACTAGAATACATGATTTCATGAAAGATAGGTAGAACAACTGAAAAGGCAAGACAAGTTTAATGAACACATAATTTGTGGCTTACCCAGTTTTCTGAATACTATCTCAGCATTTTAATAGCTTCCCATACTGTGAATCCTAACTTCTCAGAGCAGAATTTCCAAAACCTCATTTCTCAGACTTATTTGCAGCTATGACATGCAAGCCCATACTTTAGATTTCAAACAACTAAAGTACAAACATATAGAATAAAGCAACATGTCATTGAGCCACAAGTCACACTTCTTGATTCAAAACTCAAACTTTGGTTGATATGGTCCCACTAGCAAAAGCAGGGCATATACCCAGACATGCTGGTCCATGTTTGTAATCCAAGCTACTCAGGAGACTGAGGCAGAAGGACTGCAAATTTAAAGCCAGTCTGGGCAACTTAGTGAGATTTTGTCTCAAAATAAAAAATAAAAAGTGCTAGGCATGTACTTTAGCAGTAGATTGCTTGCCTAGCATGTGACAAGCCCTGGGTTCAATTCCTATTACTTTGCCAAAAAAAAAAAAAAGTAGCATCTGTCACAAGCAAGACTTAGGTAACTAGATCAAATTTATATGAATTCATATTTAAATACAGAGAGTAATATTAATGTCACCAGAAAATTCACAAATGGAATATTATCAATTGACAAATAGCTCTTTTTTTTTGTAGTTGTAGATGGACAGAATACCTTTATTTTATTTATTTTTATACAGAACTAAGGATCGAATTCAGTGTCTCACAGGTGCCAGGCAAGTACTCTGTCACTGAGCTACAGACCCAGCCCTAAGTAACAGCTCTATAAATATAATATCTATAGCTTTGTTATTGCTTCTTTAAAAGTATATATTTGTGACTTTATCAGATATGAAAATTTGTAGGTTTAAAACATTTAACAAATATACAAAGATTAAAAATATCTGAGTTGGGTGTCTGCTGTAGGTGTTTTGTAGATATTCTTTATTAGATTAAGAAACTTTCCATTAACTGTTGAGAATTTTTATCATGTCAAATCTTATTTTCTCAAAATAATCATATAATTTTTTTCTCCTTATTTCATTAATATCACAAATCACTTTGCTTTTCCAAAGTTAAACTACCTTTACATTTCTGGAATTGATTCAATTTCTTCAAGATATGTTATTATTTTTATTTGCTGCTGGAGCTGATTTAATACATTTTAAGAGCTTTTTCACTTATTTTAATGAGAATAACTGACATGTGTTTTCCTTTTTTAAAAAAAATACCATTCTTGACAGATTTTTTAAAAAATATTTATTTTTTAGTTGTAGTTGGACACAATATCTTTGTTTAATTAATTTATTTTTATGTGGTGCTGAAGATTGAACCCAGGGCCTCGCACGTGCTAGGCAAGTGCTCTACTGCTAAGCCAGAACCCCAGCCCCTCTTGACAGATTTTTAAAAAATATTTATTTCTTACGTTTTAGGTGGACACAATATATTTATTTTACATTTATGTGGTTCTGAGGATCGAACCCAGTACCTCACGCATGTGAGGCCAGCACTCTACCACTGAGCCACAATCCCAGTCGCATCTTGACAGATTTTTGCTGTCAAGCTTATTCTAGCCTTACAAAAAGAATCTGGAAGTGTTCCCTCTTTTTCCATTATCCAGAAAGACTGGATAATATTGCCAATCATTATTTCTTCCTTAAACATATGGAAGAAGCGATGTGCCAATGAAACTGTTCTGACCTGAGTTTCCTCTGCAGTAAGTTTTTAAATTAAAGATTCAATTTCTTTAATAAATGTAGGACTATTCAGATTTTCCACTTCTTTCTGTGATGTTTAGCAATTTTTTTCCCTGAGAAATTTGTCCATTTTTCCTAAGCAACTAACTTATTTGGCTATAGTTACATACAAGATTTACTTATTAATTTTTGGATTTTTAAAGTAATTTGGTTATGTCTTTTCTCTCTTCAACAGTCATGCTAGGATTTTACTAATCTTTTTAAAAAAGCAACTTTGGCTTTAATTTTTTTCAAGTACATATTTGTTTCCTATTTCATTGACTTTTCTTTAAATTTAACTTTTTTGTTCTTTTTTTGTGGCTTCTTAAAATGGAAGCTCAAAGCTCTATATCCTTTCTGGGAATTCCAAACTATTCAAGAAAAAACTTATTAAGAATACATATTCAGAAATATTCTTAACTTTTAATGTATTATTTAAACATTTTTTTTAATTGTAGTTGAACACAATACCTTTATTTATTTTTATGTGGTGCTGAGGATCGAACAAGCACCTCACACTAGCTAGGTGAGTGCTCTACCGCTAAGCCGCAACCCCAGCCCCTAATGTATTATTATTTTGTAGCTTCCCATTTGAAAGAGAGATGTAGTCATGTTTCACCAAATAGGAAGTTCATGAGTGCAAAGAAATGGCGCAAAATAAAAATTCCTACACAAGATTCTTCCTCTTGTTTAGGTATAAGCTAAGGTTTATCTCAAGACTGAAATACACAGGGCATGGAGAGATAAATTAAAAAAAAAACATTTCCCCAGACAATATATTTGAGTTCCTCTACAATAAGTAAAAAGCATCTTATGGAACTGTTTCTGGTCTTATAAATACTTAACTTTTGAAGGGAACAAACAGGAATCCTTTTTTCCAGTTTACTAAATAGTTCATACTTTGCCAATTAAAAGTCCTTATTCCAATGTCACTCTTCTCAATGCAGCCTACCCTTACCACTTAATTTAAAATTACATACCAATACTGATTTCATCTTATACTCTCAATGGTAAAATTTTAAGTCCAGTTTGTGCTAATATATCCTAGGGACTTATAAAAGTGCCTGGCACACATATTTACTGCATGTGACTAAAAAAAGAAAAATAACTTCAAATAATGTGAATTTTTACTTAAGAACAAATTTTAATTGAGTATGAATTTTAGAATGATGAGACACACTGTGTTTGGATCCTACTCTGTACTTGTCAGCTGTGTGACTTCAGACTAAATTACCAAATTTCCTAAGCAAATAAAAATAATATCTGTTTCATAGGATGGTGGTGAGAAGTAAATAAAGTACTTAACACACTCAGCACTATGCATAGCACATAGTAAAGAGTTCAGTAAATAAGCCTAATAATTATTTTTACTATCACTGAGTGCCTTAACCAAAAGACATGTGTACATGGATCAGTATGAACCTTCATCAAAGTTTCCAGTGGCAAAGTCAGTCTCTGATCCTATCCTATATACCTTCATTAGTGGTTGACTTATGCAATAATAAAACACACTAATGGAATTCAGTGAAAGGTAGTTCATACATGAGAGGACACATTTGAGATTAAAAGAAAATGCTAACATTGGAATAGTATATTGAATTAAATAAAATGGAATTTAATATGGGTTCACATAAAGTACTGAATTTAGCACAGAAGAGACACTGCATAAAAGAGTATGTAAAAAGATGAGATTGTAAACCACTGAAAATTAATGAATTAAATTTGTAATGTGGCTGCCAAAAGTGTGAAGATAGTTTTAAGCTACATCAGCACAAGTATAGTATTCAAATAAGAAAACTGTTTTCTCCTATATTAGTTACGCAGTGTCTCAATAGTCTGCTCAATTCCAATAGTCACCCTGTAAATGTGGAATCAGGAGACTGATACTTGTTCACATGAGAATGACTGGAATGGTAGTGAGACTGATAGCAATGAGGGTGGAGAACAATTTTAGAAATTGGGGATATTTGGCCTGAAGAAGAGGAAGCTTAAAGCTCTCTTAAGACATGTGAAAGACCGTTTATGTAGATTTACTTTATATGGGCCTCAAAAGCAAAAATGTAACAAATTAGAAAAAATAACAAAAAAAAAACCAGTAAAATAGATTTTGGCCTAATAGTTGTTTAATAACAGTGCCATTCTGTAAATTTTTCATGATTAGGAGGTTTTCAACAGAAGATTAAAGATGATTGTATGCTGGAATAATCTACAGACAGAAAGTCAGTCTAGACAACCACTACAGCTCTTTCTAACAATAAGATCACAGCCTTACAATTAGAGAAGAAATACAATTTTAAA